GCTACGACACTCGCGCTGGGTTTAGACCTGTGCGGCAGCGAAGGAGACCTGCTGCTGTACAAAGCTACTCAGGTGTGTTAGAATCATGGCAGCAAACCAGCAAAACGCAAAGAACTTTTCACAGTTTTTCCCCCAAACGAACCGACTGTTGAGAAAAGCTGTTGGATGCAGGTAATGTTAGCTAAAAGATGACTAGCTAGCTAATATCAATACATCACCTTAAGCTGAACAAGTAGCCTGTAGGCTACCGATGTTGTCCATGTTCAGCTACGTACATTTATTACGTATTTTTTCAAAGCACCAATACTGCAAAATTTACGTGCAATTTTACAAGCCTTTACTAAAATTATTCTTACTTTAACATTCCTAATAACTAAAGTTGATGGTACTGATGATGTTAATATTTTCCAGCAGCAAAATAGTTTCTAATCCATTTCCAATAAAAAGTGATCATGTTACATTTGTTGCATGAAAGTAAGTTTGTGGCATTTTCTTATAGTGCAAGAATCTCATAACGGCATGTGCCTGCTTGATCCAAACTGAGCTATCCTGTCTCCTTAGAGTGCATTTTGCCAAAACACGCTAAGAAAAACAAGATAGATTTCTACTCAGATTAATAACCTGTCACAAGACCAAAACCCAGCAGAGGAAAAAAAAAAAAAAAAAACTTTCACAAGAATAGACTGTTGTCTTCAAGCCATCTGAATAAGTTTTAGCTTGTTTGAGGTTATATAACAGAAGAAACACTGTCCTGTGATGGTTCTAAAATACTTTCACTTTATTTCAAGATAAAATCATTTTTAAGTTGTGAAGTCGGTGGTTGTGTTACTACTTTGCCCTCACTGTAAAGCCTAGAGAAAAAAAACATTTGGTTTTTAGGGGTCTAGTGATTGCATGATCAGAATGCTAAATGTGACCACTAATGAAGGGAAAATGATTAACATAAAGCTCAGCAGCCAACAGTAAAAGTTTAATGATGCAAATAATAGAGGTGGTCAGTGATGGTTCTGGGTCAGAATCCTTTAACCAGAGAAAAGGAAATAAAGTTACATTATTTTTATATCGCTTTTTTTTTTCTTAGTTAAAACCCCTTTAATGCCTGCTGCCAAATATGGTAATTACAAAGCAGCCGCATGTTTGAAATGAATTTACAAAAGGAACCCGTGAGGATAAAGGCACTGCATTTGTAAAAAGTGCTCAAAGCCAACCATGAAATACAGATTTATAAATAATGCCTTCAAGAATGGAACAGCAAGAGTAGCTTAAAAAAAAAAAAGAAAAAAAACAGTGGATTTTGGGAGTCACAGCTGCCACCGAAAGCTTCCAGCTCAGATGGATATGACCCAATGCTGGCAACAGTGGGAGAAAAAAAAAAGGCAAAGTCTGGCAGGTTATACTGTCAATACAGAAAAATAAAATCTGTAAATGTGAAGAACTCCACAATATAAAAAAGGGCAATACCATGAACATTACATCATCATGTTTGCCAGCTCAACCAAATGTTAAATTAAGAGAATAAAACTGCCAACTGCTTGCACATTAAAGTGACCTGTGGAGCTTTACGTGGCAGCAAAGCACACAGCTGCTTATATAAGCAGCTTTATGTGATGGGGAGGGTTACGCAAGCGGGCATATTAGAAGGATGTAACAGTAATGACCATCCATTCCACCATGAAACTGGCTCCATCAATAAATTGCAGGAATGTTTTTTTATGATCCCGTGCATGAACATAAGGCAGAACAAAACAGATCAGTCATGAGCATGAAGTGGCAATATTTTCCCACAAGATCACAAAGCTGTAAGTGGCCTACAGGCTAGCAGATGTATTACTTCCTGATGAGTCACGTCTACTCATCCTACCGTCAGACCAGCTCATGCAGAGAAGCGCTGCAGCTGAACTGGGTGAAAGGTGACATCTGTAGCTCTAACAGGAATCGCACCCAATGTGCCTTTAAAACAACTGGATACACAAGTATAACTTTTGCATGTACATCTATAGTTATAATTGATTACCTTAATAAAACGTGCACAAATTGAACCAGACCTGCAAAACATTACAGCTGAGAATTGCCAATCATTAATGCATTAAATTAAGAGCACTGTCTTCATGTGACTGGCATCAGTATCATGTCTTTGTTTTAACAACCCAATTATCCATCCCCCCCTATTCTCTCAGCCAACACCTGTGGTCAAGATAACCACTTCTAATCTAGTGGAGGTCAGAGCACAGGCAGCCAAGTGTCCTCTCCTTCCCCCTCGCTTTCCCTTCCTCCCTCTTCAAATACTGCCAAATATGGGCCAGCGCAAACAAAGACAATGAGACGTAGTAGTCAGCAGGTGTCAAACAGATACAAATACGACCACAAAGAGGAAACTAGATATCCTTAAGAAGGAGAAGTAGGGAAAAGGCGTGTATGAAAGCCAAACAGCTACGAGGGAATCGAGCCAAACAAGCAACGCTTGCTTTTAATTAACCATAAAGAGGAACACTTTGCTGATTTGTTTCCTCAAGTGTCCCCTTGGTTCATAAGTTTCAGTTTTGCAAAATGCAACAGTCTAATGCTGCAACAGGGGTGAATATGTCAACAGCTACACAGAGCGATGCAAGGAGCACAATTAGGAACTTGGGGTGATGGGGGGGGGGGAGAAAATAAGAGGAAAAATGCGGACAATCATGTTCAAATTAATCTCGCCAAGGAAATTAGTAAGGGGGCATTTTAAGCTCGAGTCCTTTTAGTTTAGTAAGAAATTAAAGTAAAAACACTAAAAACAAACTCAATTATAGAGGCACAGCTGCAACACCGACGTTCCTGTAAAAACAAAACCTGTGTGAGAAAAAGTCTAACACTGGTCTTTTTAAAAAAAAAAAATAAACCCCATATGTCTAAAAAAAGGAGGTAAAACAGAGACCTTTTGTTTTTAAACAAAAAACACGACCACAAAGTTTTTTTTTCCCCCAAGCTCAATGGGAGTCCTGGCTGCCAATGAGCCCACAGGGTCCCCAGGGAACGGGAAGAGAGCAACACACAACCCCAGAGCTGCTGGATCACATTTCCAGGCTGACGCTCTGTCAGAATGACCTATAGTAAACCCAAACCGGCTTGACAGAGAGGTTACTAAAGGGCACTTCTTTCAATGCGTTGGAAACAAAGTGATCAGATTGTGATCTGGTTTGTGTTTGTCAGCGCGCAGCTCTCCCAACATTGCTAGTCTCATCAGGTACAGCTGTGTTTAAAACCATTTGGAACTTGCGCCAAGTAAAAACTTTTCGTGCATCTCAGTTCAATTTTGAAGTGACAAATCCAAGATGATTTGGATATTCAGTCAGGAAATATCGCAACAAAGATAATCAGCAGTACCTCGTCTGTTCCTGTAGGATGAGATGGGGCTCCACAAAAAACTTGACTCGCAGCCTCAGCCGACAGGGTGTCACGTTATCCATCTGCTGGCAGATGCGGTTCCTCAGATTCAGCCACAAATTCTCTCCTTTGCTGCCGGTAAACTGCAGCCCGAAGTAATCCACTTCAATTATGCCCAACTTTCTGCAAACCTGCAGAGAGGTGAAAGAAAGAGGGTCTCAAAAAAAGGGAATTTAGACTAGAAAATACCAAGAGAATCAAACAACAACAAGGAAATATTAAATAGGCAAGAAGAGAAAGAAGCAGGGAGTTTATTTCTAAGGGATTACAACAGCTGGAACACAAACTTGAATCCTTTCGAGGGGGCTCATCAAATCTATCCCACACTTAACTGCAGCAGGGATGGTCGTGTTATTGCATAACTACTGGCGAATGTCTCTAGAAAGCCTGGAGGCAGAGATAATACCCATTTGTTACCCTCAGCAAATTGGGAATATGCCCTGCATACAAAATAAGACCGGCATTAGTATCAGTAAGACCGAAGCTACTGCTCCAATGATGGAGTTTCTTAAGAACAGAGGGCCTCAAAAATGATATAATTAAGATCCAGATTTGTGATTTATCATATTTTTACCCTCACCAACTTTACAACGTTAGATGCAATGTATTTTAATCTGTGCAGCTTTTCTAAACTTTGCAATACTTGTGGCCAAAAGAGGTAAGCCAAAGAGCACTAAATGTTAAATATGAAATTCTGCATGGCTCTCTACTAACAGAAGCAGGGAGAAAAAAGTTTTTTTTTTTTTTTAAATTCAGACTCATGATTTATACGTGTTGCTTCTTTTCATTAAGAGCTTAAAAGCTGCTTGTATCTTATCGTTAATCCCAAAATTATATGTGTTTTCCTGGCAGATGTAAAGTACTCCTGAAATTTAGCCAAAAGCTTTTTCTTTTAAAACATAAAAAAGTTTTAGTCCAAGTCCCGACTTGAAAAATATGTTCTTCAAAACGGATAGAGCTTTTAGAAGCTAGCCATTGATTTCAAAACAGTTTAAAGTTAAAGAAAAACAACCATGTCACAATTTGTCAGACATATGAACCATTCTGGGTCTAGATAGCCATCTTCAGAAACTGAAGGGCTTTGACTTTTGCAGCTTGACAAAATGTGACAGCTCAAGAGTGATGAACACTAAAGATAAATGAGGAAAAAATGACTTGATTTTTCTCTTTTTTCTTTTCCTGAAACCATGCAGCAGCAAAGGGGAACTCAGTTTCACAAACAACATTAACCATTTGATTATTAGTTAATGCAGGAATCAAAGTTACCAAGTGTTGAATAGCTTCAGCATATGTTGAGATTTGCATTTAAAACTGGAGACAAAAGGTGGAAACCAATAGATTTACATCAATGTTCCCGACTAATTTTCCCATTTTCAGTAGAGATCTCACTTTGTTTCATGCTGACATGTACACCAACAAAGCCTCAGGTTGAGTGAAGCTCAAGTGCCGAGCGCAGCTCGCAATGAAACACAATGACCTGTAGTAACCTCTGCCTAAGCCATCTGTTTCTGGCAATACAGGAAGAGTCTTACTAAAGCTTTAACATGTTTAGATACCCACGCAAACGAATATTTACAGCGTAAATATTTACAAAGAAAATACAAAATAGGTTCGCTTGGTCTTTGTAGCAGCAGCGTAATTAACAGTTGTTACGGCAGCTGTAATAAATACAGAAAATTCAGAAAACAAGCAAGCTTCTATGCTTCTTAGAAAGATTAGCTGATTAAATTATTAAAATAAAGTTTTAAAAAACAGTGGAGAACTTAAAGCGCGCCGACACAATAACGGCTTCGGTGATTTGTCTGACAGAAACGGTCACAGAGACGGAAAGACAAATGGTCTCCGTACATATATCTGAACATTTATGGGTATTTTACTCGGATACTAACCTTATTAAGACAGTCTTCTCCATTCGCCTTCCCGTCAACTTCCACTTCCATCACCACCGAGTCCGGGCGAGTAACGTGGCAGAGCATTTTGGCTTTGTATTTTGTAGTCTTTGGTGTGCCACGCTTTAAACCAACAAAACAATTCTCTTGCCCTCTTTAGAAACCCTCCACATCAAGCCGACATCACTTTCCTCTCACAGTTCTCTCAGTGTGGCTAATCTTCCTCTACCAGCTGTAGGAAATATCAATGAAATGCCCCCCGTAGTCCCGCCTACTTGAAGGGCATCCAATCACAGACGCTGTATTATAACTCACTGAACTTCTGTTAACCAATTGGAAGCGTTGTCACATCCGCAAACTGGAAGATCAAGTTGAGCTCTTGTTTGAGAGGCACTGCGTCCTCTTGTGGTGGGTTGGTTGTATGCAACCAGAGAGCTTTTATTTTTGCACACCTGAACTTAATAAATTAGACATTTCATCGTACGCCAGTGCACTTCAGGGTAAGTTTAATGGCTTTCCATAGCTTTTGTAAATAATTTAGTTGATTATGACCCAGAAATAGCTGCAATACTAGTGGGGAAACTTTCCACTTCGCCTGTTTTTTGCGACTCAAGGCTGTTATGAATATTTAATCTCTGCAACTTTTACCTCAGCCACCCGCTATTTCCCCTTCCTGTAGAGGAAGGGGAAATAGCGAATGATTTATTTTCTCTAAATCATTCGTTTTATAACATCTTATTCTGAAATTTATATGCTTTACTTAATCTTATATGTAAATAAAGGTTAAATACCAAATAAATCTGTAGAGCACTGAGCTGATTTGTGCCGTTATGAGGATAATTTAAACATGTTAGCAGCGCCTCCAACCATGAAGCTTCAGTGTCGCTAATTTGAGCACCTAATATTTCTGTGACCTTATTTCAATATGTCTTCTGCCTCAATACATCCACAACAGCTACTGTTTTATCATCTATTATTCAGCAGCGCTGCATTGTGATGGAGGCAAACTTGGCAAGGAAAGTGAAGAGAAGAGCAGTCTTGTACTTTAAAACCAAGGAAGGCATGGTATTCAGCCAAGCTTATCGTTTGTTTGCCAAAGGACAATTTAGAGTGGAGGCAGCATGCCTCTCCGATATGTTTGCACTCTTTCCACAGCTGCATTCCTTGTGTAGCTGGAGTGATATGTATATAATAAGAGACTGAAGGAAAAATACTGACGATGTTATAACATTTAACTACAGCGCCTTTCAAAATAACTCCTATCCCCTTCATTTAGCAGAATTGTGAAATGGTAAGAAAACATACTTCAATGTCGTTTAGACCAAAGGTATTCAACTCCAGCCCTACAGGGCCGATTTCCTGCAACTTTTAAATATATCTCTTCTTCAACACACCTCAGTCTAATAATCAGGTCTTTAACAAGTCTCTGTAGAATTCAGCCATTTGATTCGGGTTGACGTGACCAGGGGACACATCTAAAAGTTGTGCCCTTGGGGACTGGAGTTGAAGTTTAGATCAACCTTTCACTATATTTACGTCTACAATTCTTTTGGAGTACATTTCTATCAGCTTTGCATTAATAGTCACTTAAATTATTTTCCCATTCGTCAGCAAATTTGGTAAAGTTCAATAAGGTTGAATGGAATTCTTCTGCAAACATCGATTTTGTAGCCTACCCGTAGATTCTTATCTGAATATACGCTCTAACTTGATTGGGTCATTCTATCACCTGAGCTTTAATCTAAGGCACTGTATTGTATCAGCAGTGCACCGTGCGTCAAGGGAAACTCTAATTTGGTGCAAACCAAGCCAGGATTAGTTTGCACCAAATAAAACTAATCCAATCTTGAAAACTCAATGTTGACAGTGATGACCATGTGTTTACTACTGCCTATTTCACAATAATAGAGTAAATGGTGTGTAGCATGTTTGTAAGTTGCTCATCGAGAGGGGGTGGAGGGAACGTGAATGTGTGCAGGACACGCAATGTTTGCTAACTGGTGTAGAACTAAAATAACCCTCCTACCTTGTATGGGTTTAGCAAAATATTGGATTGACAAATGTTATGCTTTTCTATAAATTTGTAATCTTCTTTTTTAGATTTTTGTTGTTTATCTGAAAACTCTTTCCAGGCAATTGCATCTAAAAGTGTACTTAATCGTCAATCATTTATTGCCATAGCTCTTGAAGGAAAACCACTGATCGTAAGCATGTTTGTTTATTTGTAAACAAACCATACTATTGAATATTGCAGTGTAACCTGAGCAAGTAATCTTCAGGTTTTCACAATTTATGTTTCCACTAAGTTTAACCTTAAATGTTTATTGAATGAAATGTTTTAGCAGAGTAGGGAAGTATAAGTACTTCTATTGTAAGCATTACCTATTACAAATGGAACACTGTGTAGGCATGGAAATTAGTATAATAGTAACTAAAACTGACTCATCTTTGAACATCTAGGTCAGTTTTGAGTCTGCTGTCCCCCCCAACCCATCTGGGTCCCTGCACAAACACAGACCCTTTTGCAGACTTCTGCTTTGCAGCTCGCTATGACATCATACAATGTGGCATCACTTCCCTGCAAGGCAAGTCATTGCTCACTCAACTGGAGTGTAAACACATAGCCATGCAAGGATTTCTATGTGTGCAAATGTTGGTGTGTGTTTGTACACGCATGCGTATGTGTGTGTGCATGTGGGCGCATGACATCACAGTGTCATTGCTGCCCAACTCCACAGCAAAGCAATGTTTTGTGAAGCAGAGAGTAGGACAGGAAGTGCCATGGTACTGTCACTTCTCTGGCTGTTGTGATCGCCTTGATTGTTTCTTTTTTTTTTTCCATCTATTGGGGTTAAACCAAGGGGACTGGGCAGCTGATCAGAGTGGAATTGATCACTGAAGTAAGTAGAGGTACCAAAGGATAAGATGTTCCTCTGAAGAAAATCGATAACCACCATCCAAGGACTTGTCAGATGAAGATTCATTATCGACTTCAGATGTTGATTCAGAGTGTATGATGAAGAGGAGTCAAAGGTTCAGCGGCTCTTTCAGCTTTGAGGAGGACCAGCAGATTCATCTGAAAGATGAGGAAGAGGAAGGAGAAGCTTTACCACCAAACTACCCTGAAGGATCAAAAGAGGTGGCAGCAAAATCTGCAGCAGATTTTAAGCAAATGGGAACTAGCCTAGTAATCTGTGGCTCAAATCAACCAAGGTCAGACATATTCAGACCTCAACACTTATGGCAGGCTATGACAAGATGCCTTTCTTTTCGCTGGACTTCCATCAGCAGACAAAGCAACCGGAAATCAGCTTACGAAGGGGATCTCAACCAAAGTGAAGACACACAGTCATCTGTCAGCTCTGACTCGACCAATGACGGTTCCTCAACATCATCTGCTTCGGATGACAAAGATGCACATCTGTCAAAACCTGAGGTCATCAGCGACAGAGGGGGAAAAAGTGGTCCACCCCCTCGTCTAGGAATTTCCCATTCCTGTCCCAGATTATCAAGAGCAAGACTAGCAACAGACCTGGGTCTGGCCTCAGTGATCTTGGAGAAAGAAATGTTTCTACGGATTGAGCTGGTAGATTCAGGTGATGAAAGGGATGATTTACGCTACAGAGCAGAATGGACTTTGTCAGAGAGAACTAAGGACCTGGCAGGAGGCGTCTGGCAATCTCAAAGCCAAAAAGTAACAGACTGACCTATTAAATTGAAGGTTTGGGCTGATGACTTCACACCATGTACTGCTTAAGTTAGATTGCAACCTCAGCCATGATAATGTTACATAGATGGCAGAATCGTTCATTAGAAATGGCTCGTGTTTTGCTGAAGAGTAACATTATTTTTCAGTCCTACCCATGATTTTCAAGAGCTAGACAAGCTTCAGACCAGCACCTTGTTTCAGTGATCTTTGAGGAATAATTCTAAGGCATAATTTAGCTAAACCGGGTAGAAAAAAGGGGGATTACTAATGCTACTTGGTAAAATGGATGTTGTCTGGAAAAACAAAGGAATTAGAAAAAGATCCCTGGCTTTCTCAGGGCCAAAAAACGATGGGTTGACCTGGTAATTCAAGATTTGGATTACACTACAAAAAGTGACATACCATGTATCCTTAAAGTGAGACTGCAAGCTCAGCCATGATTATGTTATCTTACATGGCGAGCATTCTGATTAGAGATGACCTAGATTTCTCTAAGTGATTGGTTTTGCATGATTTCTATCACACACTACTGGTTCAGATTCAGTATCTAATCAATTAGAAATGCTATTTTGTTGACATAGCACCGCTAATGCTGAGGTCAATTTTTTCAGCCTTGATGGAATCCTCACAGAACATTTTTACTTGTAAGTGGTCTCATGGTGGAGAAATTGTGAAATTGTATTTTGGTGGTTTTTCAGTAAAACCTGGGATTTTACAGTATTGGGTTTTGAGGTCTTCATCCATGGTTGTCTTAACTACCAGTATGTTGAAATATACTGTCTCAACATGTGTCAAGCAAACTTACACTGCCGTGTTGAAATAAGGTTTTACTTTCTTTACACTTTTCCAGTTCAGCAAATGCTACGGTAAATACACAAAAAAGCTTTAGATATGCTGACAGGTGCAAAGCTCCACTATAATTATATATATGTAGCCCATTTTTTCATGTACTTTCATGTTTACAGTTATGGTAAGTACAGACAGCATAGCTTTAAGGTGATATTCTGTCTTACTGCATTAAAATTGAACTGCCCTAAAAGGTAGACTGGTAATACTTTTGTAAGCAAATAAGCAATCGTATAAAATTCGGGATCAAACACTTGTTTGTTGGAGTAAGTGTCTGTGTAGGACAGGGAGGCTTCCATCTAACGGATGGATAGTGTGATGGATTCAGACATTTTGGTGAGAAATGTCTGAATCAACCACAGAGTCGTGTAATGACTAACACTATTCAGGTCTGGAAACATCCTATGCAGATATCCCTGCCTGCTTGGGATTCTTGTGAGAAGCTTTTGTTCTTGCGGGATTATGGTCTGTGGTGTACTGACTCTAGGAGTGCCTGTGGGTTTACAATTAAAAATTAGGCTGAGGTTGTTTTGCTGCACAGAGCAGGATGACTGTCTAATGGATCAGCATTACGTTACTTATCAGAGTCCCATCCTGCACATATCCTTTGTTTTAATAATGCCTTAAAAGGCTGACAGTAGTACATTTGACTTGAGAACATGCAGAGTGTAGATTAGTTCTGTGCTGAAGCTGCACTTTTCTAAAATTATCAAAAATAGTCCTAGAACATTTGAATGTTACCAGAAGCAATGTTTTTGTTTGAGATATTTTTCTCATATGCTTAGCTCTTTGAGTAATAAAACATTTTAATTTAGTGTTGATTTCTTCCATGGAAGACTGTGGCTCAGTCTTATCTACCTCTGGGCAAGGCATCCAAAGTTGCCTACCAATCTCTGTGACTGTATGAGTGTTGGAGAATGTGGTAATCATAATTGACTTAAAACATAGACAAGTAGAGAAATGCGTTGCATGCAAATTACTTTTTATAACTTTCAGCGAGCTTGAAACTGGCCATTGTTTTGAAGAAAAGTTACATATAGTGCTACTAGTAAACCAATACAGTTGCCTTACTTCTTCCTTTAGAGGATATTAGTTATTACTCTTGTAAAGCATTGTACAAGTTTAGAAATGTTCACTTTCTAAGCACTGATGTCAAGTGTAAATTATTTTATCAAATGTGTTTTTGAAAAGGAATTATAAATTGAATTTATGTATCAGTGGCGATGCGGAGAACAAAGCGCTTTGCACCATAACCAAAATAATTTCTATTTGCTAATTGCCAGAATGAGAATGCTTACTTTGAGATTTTTTTTCTCCAAATTCAGAATTTTACATGCAGGTTTTCTATAACTTTGAAACAATGTGGGTAAGTGCCACAGAGGATGCCATTGATCTTGTGAATTCAGAACGTTAGTTAAGTGGAGCCACATCTGTGGATTATTTTACAGCAATGCCTTATACATGTTGCTTCTTTATGTGACATTGGTGGAAAAACGTAAGGAAATTAGGTAATGTATCAGGAAGAAAACACTGCACCTCTACATGTTTAATTCATCCCTGGGAAATGTCAAGATATGTGAGCGTGCCACCTCATTTCTGCAAATATAAACACAATGGAAATGTCCAATTGTAATACTATTCATGTAGAAGAAAGTTGATGTCTCAGAGAGTAATATGTTTTGGTGAGGATTGTCCGAATCAACCACAGAACAAAAGCAAAGATCTAGTGAAGATGTTTGCTGAAGCTGGTAAGCAGGAGTCTTTATGTCAGCAACATACATCCCTTACCAACATGGTCCGGGAGTTCATTGAAGAAACAGTTACTTCAAATGCTTCACAAACGTACAGATTACAGCTTGCAATACAATCAGGAATGAAGACATGTTTAGAGACATGTTCTGTGGTCTGATGAAACTAAGGTTGGTGTCTCTAAACATAATGACCATTGTGACATTTGGAGGAAAAATAATAAAGCTTGCAAGGCTGAGAATACCATCCCAGCTATTCATGGTGGTAGCAGCATCATTTTGCTGATGGAAGGACTGGTACGCTTCACTAAATATAACACATTGTGAGTATAAATCATTATTATTATTTATTAATATAGTGTGACCCTAAGCAAATCACCAAATGGTTCTGAAGTGGCTTAAGGACAAAAAAGTCAATGTTCAACACTAGCCATCACAAGACCCTGATTTCAAGCACATAGAAAGTTTGTAGGAACAGCTTAAAAGTTGTATAAGCAAGATGGCCTACAAAGCTGACTCAGCTGTACCAGTTCTGTCTGGAGGAATGGGCCAAAATTACAACAAACTTTAGTGAGAAGCAGTCTAATACCTATGCCACCAAACGCTAAGCAAATATGTGTCAACCTCTGACATCAACAAAAGGTAATTATTGTGTTCTTTATCAAATATAAACATATTTAATCCAAATTGGCTTATAAAAGAAAAAGCTTAGTTTAATACAAAGTCAGAGAGGAAAATCTACTTTGGTGTATGTAAACGTCTGGTTTGAACTATAGATATCAGCAATACTGTTTATTATCTAAAGTCCATGATGATTTCATAAAAAGCTGTGAGCCTTGAATGTTTGTAAAGACTGCATTTGTGCATGTTTGTTCATTGGAGTGAAATACTTTATGGCCTTAAGGTCAACTGTTCATACATAAAATAATGCTTGTAAAAAGGTAAGCATCTTCAACTCAGTGGGAGGTTGTTTGCATCTGCCTGCCGAGACTCATTTGACATGCTTTAGTGAGCGACGCATTTTAAAATATGTGAAACTACACAAATTGATCAACAACTTACACTACTGACCAGCTTAATCAACATAATAACAAGAGATAGTTGTAAAAAGCGTCAGAACATTGGTTTTGTGGCATTGGCAATAAGATTAATTTAACGGTGCTTAAATACATTTTATCTGCCTGCATAAGAAGAAAGGACTTGTTTTGACATTGTGAAACTGAGGATGAATATTTTTAGCCTCTGTTGTGTAATGCCCTGTCTTTTTCAATCAGATCTTCTGGGTTAAATTGCTCTGGAGGGCTGAGTGGCAGAACATGTGGATGTCCTGATATAGACAGAAGAAATAAACCAGATGGGACCTGATGAAATGTGGTAGATTTAAACTGTCATTTCATGCAACGTCTTTTCGAGACAAAAGTCTTGTCTATCTATAAATCATAAAAGTAGGCAAAGGATTAATTTTTTTAACAGGATGAATTTAGTACTTCCAGTCCACAAAACATATTCTCATGTGAAACAATGACATAAAGATTGCATTATGTGAATTATTCTATCCAAAAATAAGATTTTGACCTGTTATTAACTGATATTTTCCAAATATCAGTTAATATCAGGTCAGGCTGAACTTTTGAAATTTTAAAACGTGCACAAAAGAAAGTCACATTCAGTAGTTTTGACTTGTAGGAAACCCCCTGCGACAGCTTTCGTGGAACTTTCTGAGACGGTAACTCTCCAAGAGATAATAGTGTGGTTTATCTCTAATAAGAGCCTTGGTTCTGGCCCTGGGAGGAAATCGGTGTCTAGTTGAGATCTGTGCAAAGTCTATGTCAGAAATTAATTATCAGACGTTTCCTGGCTCCTGTCCCTGACTTGCTTCCTATCTCTGATTTTCTCTCGCTACAGTCAGACTAATCATTTTCCTCCATAATTGCTTCTCTCTCAACAGAGGAATCAGGCCTGCTGCATTCTGTACTACATTTAATTCAGCATACCCAGGTGGTGGAGATTTTGCTCAAACTTGGTTTGATAAAACTGACACAGAAAAAGACAGTTTGCAATTTGAAACATATGTTTTTACTGACGATCCATGCCAGGCACTATTGGTCCATGAAAGCTTTGTCTTATGCAACACCTGACAGTTTGAGCAAGAGCTGGTAACTCAATGTAACATTATATTGTTTTTCCATGATAAGGATTTTCTTTGATATGTTCTTGTTGGTGTTTCATTGCCAGATAGTCTTATTCAGTCTTGAGATGCAAATCTGCTGCTTTAAACGTTTTATTCCATTTAGCAGAAATTCAAACACGTTAGCTAATGTTAATACAATTTTAGTACAAATGTTCAAATAGAAAAAAATAATGGCAAACATTACCAACCTGATCAATTTTGTTTAACTTTTATTAACTTACTAGGGAGTTTGCAACAAACCCCCAACAATCGTGAGAATAGGATCACATAGAAATCATTAGACAAACTTTAAAGATCTCAATTTAGACTTGTATAGCAGAAGGCTTTTTAAAATGTCAGCATACATGACAAGCTTGGACACAGTTTGACAGTGGCTTTATTTGGAAACATAGGAGTAGAAGTAGTTTCTTGAGCAGGAGTAAAACTAAAGCAAAGGAAAATCTGATGGGAGCCTTTTCCCTGCAGCTAAAACAGACATGATAATAATTCACTAATCTGTTACTGCGCTCAAGTCCAGGGGTGTCAACCTCGAGTCCTCGAGGGCCTGTGTCCTGCAACGTTTAGATGTGCTCCTGGTCCAACGCACCTGAATTAAACAGTTTAATCATATCCCCAGGGTGCAGAATGGTTCCTCAGAGTCCTGATGATGACCTAAGTATTTGATTCAAATGTGTTGCAGCAGAGACAAATCTAAACGTTGGAACGACTTTGACCCTTGATGACTGGAGCTTCACAGCTGTGCTCTACTCTGTTATCTCCCCGAGTGCTCTTCCTGGCGTCCGTCATACCCAGATTTTCGATGCACATGATCTTATTCAACATCGTTGGATTCGCAGAACCAATTTAGGATAAGACTTCTGCATTGGAGGCTTATGGGCAAGGAAAAGACGGTCACACAGCTACACTTCAAAGCTGCTGAGCTCTGACTGGATGCATATTAAAGCTTATTCAGTGCTCTCTACTTTCTTGCCGGAGGACAGGAAGAGTGCGAAGAACAGAGAGAGGGAGGAATTTTTATGACTGGGTGAACATCAGGGGTAAGTGGAGCAGGAATGAAAATGTCTGATAGAGGAAGTTTGTGGTCTACATTCTCATGTTGGCCACATTTTTACAGTTATGAGAAAAAGCTGACACTATCTTGTCAGTGCAGATCGAGCTGAGGGTAAATCTTTTAATTTTTACTTGAAGGAAACAAAATATGACATCAACTTGTTTCCTCAAAATTCACTCCAGGCTGTGGCTGCTGCTGTTTTGTTGTAGGTGGCGCCAGCTGGTCAAAATTAGTCTAAATGTTATTTAGTCGTAGTATTTCAA